GACGCCGTGAAGGGTCGGCAGGGGAAGGAGGATGAGCGTGGGAGGAGGCTTGTGTGGGCGTTCGGCGTCGCGAATGATCCGGACCATCATGAGTTCGGGAAGGAGTTGTACGGAGCGCTGACCGATATGCTCGAGAAGGGCGAGATCAAGGTATGTTCGTCCATCTGATGCGCGCTAGTCGATGAGCTAAGTCGTCCGTTAGCCGAATAAGGTCGAGGTTGTTGGGCATGGTCTCGAGGCTATTCCGGCTGGGCTCGAGAGGCTTCAGAAAGGGCGGAAGGGCGTTACTCTGGTGAGACCGGCTCTCAAGGTTTTAATCGTCAGAGCTAACGGACTCCCTAGCCGAACAGCGTCGAGGATCTGAATCAAGGCGGACTCGAGAAGGAGAAGCCTGTCAGTGGGGTCAAGTTAGTAGTGACTCTGTAGCCAAGTACAGCGATTCGCACACTTCATATTATATGCAAGTATCTGGTAGACCGAATATGGCTATTCATGAGATTGCCCTGGTTATTTGTGGCGCAAACGAACATGATGGTCAGGAACAAGAAGCGCAAAACGCGGGAGCGGGAGGTTGTGGCCCCCGCGCTTCAGTCACAGAATCGTAGCTTGATCCCGACCACAATCTGCTCGGACTCTGCCTCTGCTGCATACACCGTCCGCACATGCTCCACTCCTTATATGCATAGTCTCTCAGTCCGTCAATTCACGATATGACTTCAAACGACACTTCACCAGCCCCTGCGGCACCCGCGCAAGTGCGTTCTCTCACCTTACCCACGCGACCCTGGCCTGAGTACTGTAACTCTAGCCCGGGATGTCTAATATTGGATCTATGCCGCTCGCCAACATCCCACTAACAACGTCTGGCCCACTCTCCGACGCACATAAACAACTTGTGATCGACAGCATCCTACCCATCGTCCTTGCCGCAGCGAAACAGCAACGACCCGACAAACCCATCACCCCGGACAAACTGCTCGAACTAAAAGCAAAGTTCACGGATGATCTATGTCGGTGGTGGATCAACAAAGCTCACGAGGTGAAGAGGGAATATCTCGCACGGGGGCTGCCGCTGCCGGGCGCGAAGAGGGAGTTGGAAGGTGATGTAGAGGGACAGGGGAGAGAAAAGAGGGCGAAGATAGAGGAAGACGATGAGAGGGATGTCGAGATGCTCGTCGATGCCCACACTCGTACACAGAGTGTGGTGACGGGCGAGGTGTTGTCCCCGCCGGCGTTCTCCGAGCCAGCGTCTCCGTCCAAGGAGGACGATGTGGACATGTTCTCGCCGCCAGAAGTGCCCTCAGAACCTGCCAAATCTGTGGATCCCTCCGAGGAGGAGGAACCAGATGAGATAGATATGGATCTCGACTCTGATGTTGACGAATCCCCACCTCCGCCTCCACCTGTTCTTGCATCTAAACAGCCTACACCCGCCTCCGAAGCACCAACTGCGCCAGACAAACCAGATGTCTCGTCAGCCGGACCCTCCCCAGATGCCGCTCCTGTACCTCAACCGTCTACTGCAGAAGAGCAGCGTCCTATACTTGCCTTCATTACTGCCCCGCCCAAAGACCCTTCACCGGTTGATGTCCCACCTCCTCCAGAAGCTCCCGACGGTTCGCCTACCGTCTCTCGACCCACACCTGCTTCTCAAACCGCGCCAGAGCCTGTCGCCGACTCTGCACAGACATCCGTTCCCGATCCCTCACCGCAGCCCGATCCGGCTTCCGCATCGGCACAACTAGTGTCACCAACAGAACCTACGCCAGCGTCAGCATCGACGATCGCTGCCGAACCAGGACCCGCGGCCGCAGAAACGATTGCTGAACCCATCCCGCCAGAACCAGAGCTCGTCTACGCGACGGTACCCGGCATTTGGGGTATCAAACCCGGCATGAAGACGTCCACGACGCTCGAATTTGAACTCGTTATCGACGACGCGACGTACGATGCTGCAAGACGGTGGGCTGCGAGATGGGATACGTTCACGTGCGTCTATCTCTCTTTACTTTTGTCAAACTCGAATACTGATGGTCGGACACAGCGACGGACCAGCGGACTCATTCGTTTCTGTACGGTTGCATTGTCTACCGATCGCACAGGTTCAAGAGCTTGATGCGGAAGTTCGTGCGGGCTCACGCCCGTCGGCACCTGCGGATGTTGCGGATGCTATGGCGAAGCTATCTATCACGTGGCCGGCACTTGGCACGCTAATGATCACCAACGGTAAACAGTCGTTGTGCGGCGACATCTTCGTGTGTTTACCCTTACTCCCGATCGCGGTCTAATTGCTGAACCTCGCATACAGAAACCTGGAACACCTTTGGACGTGTCGTCACTCATCCAACCCGGCATCAACACCTTGCGCCTCTTCCTCATCGGGGCCTCCCACATGGACAAGGTGTACGCGCTACACGCCACCCAGCCAAGTGCGGACGAGACAAGAGCGGTTGCGGAGGTATGGAGAGCGCAGAAGGCGCTCATCGCCGGTGCAGAGAGGGGCGTGACCAGCTTCGGTATCGCTCAATTAGCTGGGGGAGGGACAGTAGTGGAGGCGGCCGCTTGATCAGATCGAAGAGATCTGAATGCATTGTCAGTGATGTCTGTTTGCTATCCTCATGCTCTGTTTACTGCTATTACCCCCGCTCTTACCCTATCCTGACTTTTGATGACTCCTTTGGGCGTAGCCGACTGACGCAGACCTCCTCGAGCCTTCGAATCTAGACAGGAGTCGCCACACTGTTTTATCACTTCACGTACCGGAGTGACGTTCGCTGAATGGGAAACCGTATCGCTAGCAAGGAACATGCATACACTTGAAATCACTTCCCGAATACGAGTACCACTACATGAGATGCGCATACATGGTTCACTATCCGCGCGATACAACACGCTCCGACTGATCAATCATGACGCTATTCCCCCCATCGCTTTCGTTCACTCGCCCCTCACCCACCGTGTGGGCATCCTCGAGCAGGCCATCGACATCGCTGCTATTCAGCATCGGTCCATCGTCCGCTCGCAACACCCGACCATCACCTGTGTCTATCCCGCCCTCCTCACTAATCACTATGCCGTCGTCAATCTCGGACGGTCGTGCAGGTCGCTCTTCCTGGTCCACGGCGAGCTCATCACTATGCATACTCTCCAGTTGGTCCGTACAAGAGAGAGCTGGCTTCTGCTCGCTTGTATGAAGCGGGACCAGTGCTGTCTTGACTTTCAATCCCGCGTTCTGGAGGATTATACGCCCTTGTTCCAAGACCATAGGATCCCGTTCACCGTGTTCAGCAAACATATCGTTCAGCCATTGCTCCTGCATCTGCAACCGACCTAGCTCCTCCTCCAGGGCCTGAGTCTCATGGACGTCACGGTGTTGTTGACCCTGTGCCGCTTCGAGCGATTGTTCGTGATCGAGCAAACTGCGCATGTTATCCTCGACAACCCTTTTCCGTTCTTGCAGGTGGTTCCATGTCGCCCAGTCTACATCTGCAATCTCCCCTCTCCAATCAACTGGATCTGTCTCCTCGACGTCGTCAGTCGCACCGGACAACCCAGCATGGGCATTTATGGAACCACTCGCTCTCATGTCAACACAGCTTGCAAGCTTCTGGAGGACGACACCCAGAGTGAGTGGTTCCTGATATGTCCCTTCGGATTCTCTGTATATCGCGTTGAGATCCAATGCATAGAGCGCGGAGTTGGGATCATATTCGTAAAACGGGAGTCTACTGCCATCTGGCTCAGCCCAATTCCCAAGCCCGATACTTTGCAGTAAGTTGATGAAGTCTCGGGACGGTGGATGGGTGCAGTCTTCCGGGTCCAAAGCGAAGCATTCGTCATAATGGGAGATCCAGTCCATGAAAGGTTTCGTTTCTCGCAGTAAACCGCTTGGGCTATTGCTCCAATCGTCCCGATCCAGCGCTTGAACACGGTCTGACTCGGGAGTATCTATGATGTGTTTAATCATTGTCAAGATATTCCGAGCCGCGATGTGTTTGAAGTCGGACAGGTCCGGCAACAGACAACAGTCTGCATCGTGAAGCGGTAGAAGACAGACCTCCTTGTTGAGGTAGTAACCGGAACTTGCGGCCGCAACATTGTCTACCCCGTTGAACGTCGAGTTGTTCAATAAGAGAAGGAGCGCCTTTGGATGTATTACTACTTGACGCGAGAAGTGCTCGTCAAAGAGACACATCCTATGCAAGTAATCCCATGGGACAGAACCATGCTTGTAACGCAAGCTCAGGATCTCATTCAATGCAGCTTTGCCAGGATCATCAGACTCCTCTCCGAGTGTTGAATCATCAGACAGATACCCAAGCTGGAGTAGAGACCAGCGAAAGTTGAATACATGGAGGCATGCCGTTAGATGATACGCTCTATCACCCATGAAGTCATCAACAGGGTTGCCAACCAGATAATATAGGATATAGAGGTAACGCCGAATGGCTGCCTCACTTTCCCAATCATCAGCTGTGACGCAGGCCTTCAATATCAAAACGGAAACCATCTGAAGTATCGTCACATATATCTCGAGGTCATATTTCAGAAGTGGTAGAAGTTCCATCAATTGTTCTGCGAGTATAGAACTGCGCAGCAAATGTTCCAAACACCCTCCGCGAACATCTCTGTCTGATACAGAGCACAGGATCCCCGATATAGCCAATAACATGGTCTTCCACTGACTTAGGCTGGCAGAAGAATCGATAACCGTTTGACGTATCATATGGTCCCACAGGAACACGAACCGGGAGATAGTCACGTCCTTCCCTGTCGTTCGGTGCGATGTCCTTTTGTGCAAGATCATAGACTGGTTGACAGGAACCTCCCACAAAGACCGGAGTGCCTGCCACCGCTGCGATGCAGTGATTGCATTGCAAAGCGACTTCAACAGTGCTGATACAGAGGTCAACACTTCATGACCAAGTCGCAAGACAACCACCAGCCAACCATTCGGTATCCGCGACCAAATGCTCATGCCTTGCGCATGAGAAAGAACGATATAAACAAGGCCGAGGGGGTATGTCAAAGGTGTTCTGAACGGGCAACTAGCATCGATAATGGGGAGCACGGCGGCGATGAGATACGCTGCCCCCAGCAGGCTCAGTATAGATAGTGTACACAAATACACCACATTGTTGATAGGTATCAGAAATATGACCAGTCCGACGGCAAAGAGCACCACCGAGAGATGGACCAAGGCCACAATGATGTTGACGACCCCGTTCATTCCGTAGCGATCCACGCCCATACGGATGTATATGTGATTCAGCGCACGACTGCCGACGCTCTCATCTAGGGAGACCTTCTTTTTGAGATCTTGCACGTAGTCACGAGACCACTGTTGTACCAGCGTGGCCAGGAGAGCGCATGCGAGGGCGAGAGCGAGGCTGCAGAACCATAACGAGTTCACTACAACGGCCGCAATAGAGACTTGAAATGGAACGGCGGCCGCAAGTTTGACATCGGTGACGGAGGATGAGTTCGTCGCTACAGCGAGCATTTGCGTCAGGAGAGCAACGGTCTGATCCCCAGGGTCCGGTGAGAGAGAGGTGTAGCTCTCTACCAGAAACGCCGCGACGGTTGCGGCGAAGAGACCTGTCTGTAGATCATACCATTAGCCAGCGGGCAATATCACATAGTTATCGGGGAAACTCACGAAAGTCAAGATGCTGCCTGTATTACCATCCCAGTCTTTCGGAAGCGCTTCGTCTTCACCCTCCATCGAGCGCAAATACGTGCCCCAAAATCTATCCTCATGTGTCTTCTCTCTGGACGAATACTCGTCCTTCACGTCGAAGTATTTCGCAAAGAGCGTTTCAAGAGTAGAGATGAGCTCCTTCTCGCCGGTAAGGTCGGCCATAGTGAAAGACCTGACGGTCGGAAGCAAAGAGTGAATAGCGATGCGCGAGAAGATACGGGCGTTAGGAACACGCTTTCCGACTGGACAGCTTTGCAATTGCGCGCTACATATCAGACAAGCTCCAATCGGCTAGACCTAAGTATATCAAGCCGTTGAACGTTAATGGAGAAGGCAAATCCGGAAGCGGCAACGTGATGGTTCACTACAAGGTGCAGTCTAAGGCGCGGTGATTATTGCTCCATTTTTAACTAAGCATATTTGACCGTTATTTAACGGCGTTAATATACGCTGTTCAAAACTGCCGGGGCCAGGGCCATATGTACTTAACTAACCCTAACCTAGGGCGGAGGCACCTATAGCACACTGTAGCCTGCAAGATTGCTTCAGCATCCCCTAGCCACGATGGTAGTGAAGCGCGCCAGACGTGCTGACGAGTAGTAGTAGTAGTACAACCCAACTCGGGCCGAATGCCAGAGTTCACAGGCGCTCGGCCGCTGCGGCGCTGGCGAGCTGGCACTGAACGTTTGAACTTCCGCCGCGCTTTCATCGCCCGTACGAGTCGGGGCAAGTTGGAGTCGATGATTTCCATAACCCAACTTCCAAGCGAGAGTACAGGTATCTACCTCTTACACGAGACCTCGGTGTGCATACGGCCCGCTGTGCCAGTACTACCCCGTCACCACACATCCGTTGCGCTCGCGGCGGCGGTCACTGCGGCGGCGGCCCGCACACAGAGAGTCTACGCGCAGAGCCGAACATCTAGCCAGACGCACGCTGCTCATTCGTAGAAGCGGCGTGCTTGGGTTAACATTTTTAACTGGTTTATTAACATGGTTAATTAACCTAACCCTAACCCTACTGTTAATGAACGGTGTTAAATGTAGCCGGGGCATTAATCACCGAGCCTTAGTGCAGTCGATAGTCGCGTCGGCCATCTACGCCAACCCTAACCTTAACGAGTAATATGGATGGTCACCTCCCGTTCTTCTCCCTTCCCTCCACATCCTCCGTACACAGCAAATCTACAATTGAACCTCGAACCTCCTCCCCAACGATTACTAGCTGGCCTGGCCCAACGATGAAACGCACGTCGAGCGCGCTCGATCATTCGCTTCCTGCGCGACCCTCGAAACGCCAGGAGCTTTCGCCGTCTGAACCACCGCCTGCTTGGTCAACGGATAATTCTGGCCCTACTCTTGCGCTTCCGTCACTTGCCCCGCCCTCGCGCCCACCGCCTTTCCAGCAACCACTCCCGCTCTTGACATTTTCCTACGATAACTCGCACACCTTGCACTTCGACGACTCTGCCAGACGGTACTACGTCGATCCACCACCAGGCGCCGACCTGGGACACGGATACGACAGATGGATACGAAGACCGGATGAACGAGGCAGGTTGGATACCTTGTTGAGAGCGTATGATCGCGCGAGGGAGAAGGCGAAGGAAAGGCCCGAACTGGGCAACGTTACCGCCGGCGCGGTATGTTGGCGGGGCGTCATGACCAAGTAAGTACTGCTTTTGCCTAAATCGGATTTGAGAACACGGCCTGAACGCGCGATGAGTCCAGGATACTCACTGCGCCATACGAGTCGCGTGATGGTTTCGCGCTGAACGTGATGCTGGTCAATGACACGCTATATCTCGAGGAGCACCTCACTGCCGCGCAATTGCAGTCGAAGAACGACATGCCGCCTCGACAGCGACAGATGACGTATTACGGCTACGCGTTTGAGAGCTGGTGTACCTCCGACACAACCTCGCCGTCACAAGGAGGATGGGGTGGCGACGTCGACACGAACGTTCAGTGGTGCCAGGTCGTCAAGACGAAACTCGGCAGTACACGACTTGTCATGGGCGGCGAAGTCGACTGCGTGCGACCGGGGCAGGACACACTGGTCGAACTCAAGACGAGCATGGCGATCCGCGGACTGCAGGACGAGCAGCGCTTCGAGAAGAAGTTGCTCAAGTTCTATCTTCAATCGTTCTTACTGGGTGTGCCGGTATGTGTACTGAGCACTCTATACTTCGCAGCTCTTCTGATCACCCTCCTTGTAGGAGATTGTCGTGGGCTTCCGGACGCCACAAGGTCATCTTACGACGCTTCAGTCCTTCAAGACGCTTCATCTTCCCCGCATGGTTCGCGGCAAACACGGTGCTTGGGACGCGCAAGTCTGTCTCGCATGGGGAGACGGTGTGCTTAGTTGGCTACGCGCAGAGATCACTCGCGACTCTGGCCCCGAGGCGAACGGAGGAGCGAATGGAAAAGGAGTTGAGGGAAACCCCACGCCGAAGAAGAGAGCCAATGTGTGGCGCGCCACATTCACGGCGGGCGAAGGTGTCAGGCTTATGCGACTGGATGAGGAGGACGTGAAGGATGTGGAAGGTGGAGAAGACCGTGTCGGGCTTCTACCAAGATGGTACTGGGAAAGCGAAGTGGCCAAGGACAGCGGCGAGGGTACACGACAGGCGGAAACCGGGAAATCGACGGGAGAGTCGACGACTGCAACTGTGCAGAAGGTGGCGAAAGAAGCTGCGCTCGCTCGGATGGTGAAGGGAGTTCAAGATGTCAGTGCACAAGACAAACCGGCTACATCAGGCGCCAGAGGCTCAAGTTGGAAAATATGAGGATCGTCTGGACCTTTGCCTACTCTCGGCGACGCATCTCGACGCGTGAGAACGACACCTCCCAGGGCGCGACCACTGTATCCTCAGGTCGTTTCCCTCATTCCGGCTGTCAAAGGCGCGCCATACTCAAAGCATACAATGAACATATCCGTTTTTGCCCTGTATCCTTCGCCGACACTATCACCGACGTTATACATACCCAGTCCATCCGTTGCAAGCCAGACCATCACAGAGACGCCACCAACTTTACACCGCTCACGCCCTTTTTGAGCTTCTGCAGTCCGCCTGAGATGGTCTCAAGGCCGTGTCCAAGACTATCGACTTGGCTTGGCTAAAGAAAACAATCAGTCAACACATTCTGTTGAGGCCAGGGACTCCTCGACATACCTTGATCTTCCCCTTCTCGAGCATCTCCGTCAGCACTGCGTACATGCATGTGCCGATCTCCTCGTGCTCCGGATCGTTCACATTGCCAAACACCCACACGACACGCCGTCCCCGATCATCGTCTTTTCCGGGCGTTCCTACCGCTTCCGACGGCGGCGCCACAACGACCATGGCGCCGCCCGGAGCGAGCATATCCCAATCGGCCTTCTGCGACTCCTTGCTCGACACAGCGTCGTAGATGTACTCAAGAGGTGCATCGCCTATGATGCCCACTACGACACCAGACAGTTCCGCATAGGGAACATCGCGATAGTCCAGGACGTGCGTCGCCCCCGCGCTCTTGCAGAGTCCTTCGTTGCGTTTCGACGCCGTTGTGATGATGGGGTCGAATCCGGATAGCTTCGCGAGCTGAATGGCTGCACGTTCGTCAGTCCCGGTCAACGTCACAGGCCATTGAATGCGCATACCGAATTGGCCAACAGAGCTGGAGCCGCTCATGATCAGCGCCGGCTTCCCTGCATACTTCCCACGTCCCTTCGCCTCCCAAGGAGGCGTAAGCCCCGCACCGCCAACATCATGCTTGTTATGGACGAGCAGCCTCTCGCTCCTCGGCTTGTACGCGCCAATGGCGGCTGTAGCGAACGCAAGCGGCACCGTAGCAGCCTGTTCGTACGACATGCCCGCCGGAATACGCGCGATACGTACAGCATCCGCGATCGTCAGCTCCTGGAACGTCCCACGGTTGGGCTCGAAACCCGACTGATAGAAGACCTTGTCGCCGACTTGCCAGCCTGCTACGCCTTCGCCTAACGCGGCGATATCGCCCGCGCCGTCGTTGCCCATTACGACGGGCCAGCCGTGCGGACCGAGGATGTAGCCCGTCTGGGCGATATGGATATCGACCGGGTTCAGAGCGACGGCTCTGTTGCGAATGAGGATTTGGTTGGGACTAGGCGTGGGTGTAGGACGACTGGCAACCTCGAGAGGGGCACCGGCGGTGCGCAGGAGAAGTGCGGTGTGCTCTTTGTCGGTCATGTCGACGTGCTTTGCGACGTCAGGATCGAAAGCGTTGGGTGCTGCAACTGTCTATCTCTGTGGCTTTTCAACTGTCCTCTCCGACTCTCGCGAGGAAGAGACATGCCGCTATCTCAATAGAGATGGAAGAGTTGCTCCGGCGAGTGGCCAGCGTGTAGCCGGCACTTAGAGTCCGGCGCAATCGACATAACGAACTCGGAGGTCGCGGCGTCAGCGGAGGGTGTCATGACTTGCCAGAACGATCGTAGCAGGACAGTGGAGCTCGATGAGGACAACTGTAGTCAACACAGTACGGCGCCCGAGGATACTGCATCATGCGCTGGGATGGGAGTGCTGTCTTGCCGATGAGTAATAGGGTTTTGACGGCAGTACAAGGAGTGGTCCTGGTACCAACGCAGGTGCAGTTACATGATTGACGATGTCTCCTCAACTCCGCAGTTCCGAAGCGTATAGACCCTGACGTCTGTAACGGGCGTAGTGATAGTTATTTACTGTAATATAAGAGGCTTATCGTCACTTTTAGTAATCCGTGATCATGAGAGAAACAAAAGGGCACTGTCCGTCGAATGCGATACTTTGACTGGACGTTCGATGGGTCCGGCCTCAGGGCGTTGAGAGGAAGTGAGAAAGCATACGATATGGATGGTACTGTAGAGACCCGCGAGATTGAAGGCGAACTGTTCCGATTCGCTGACTCCGGAGTGATGACAGTCGGGATCAAGTATTGGTCGGTGTCATTCACCACAGACGGCAGTCACCACGCCGCGACGCGGATTCGCTCTCTTGCTTTTGGCCACCATCTCGTCGAATGTTGGTCAAGTAGTACCTTTACTCAATGCTCTGTGAACCATGATAGCCATGCGTGCCATGTCCAGCATGTGTTTCCGTGTATCGTTCTTGAGGTTCGGTCCGATCGCCGGAATGCAGCTTCGAAGCATGACACGCTCGAGCCTGCTTGCAACCGCCACGTCCTAGACGATCCATCCGATACTCAGTGGTCTGCAGGCGATGTCCGGCTATACACCATCTCGGGACTCCTACGCAAAAACTCCTCGAACCTGGGACAAACGTGCCGTCACGCACTCGTACCAGAACAAAGGCCCTGCGATGGACATGACTATCATCATATATGGTTCAAAGCAATCCGATACTACATCGGATGAGCGCTTTGGAGATCACCAGCGAAGAGCTGAGATACAACTCGCGCCTAGGCTCCCTCGAGCGGGCATGCCTCCCCATGAAGTCGATCTATGGGCGCGCGACTTATTCTACCTCCATGTGCCGACGTTCAAGCATACTCAAAAGTGGTGTTGCGAGTTCTGCAGTAAGTCTAAAAAGACTTTCAACAAGCGAAGCGAGCTCACAATGCGGTATATAGACGTGCCAGCCAGGATGTCGGAGACACAGGTCCGCCTTCGCGTTCCGTCGTGGATCAGCGCCTTTAATACATCCATCAGATAATGTCTTGGGTCAACGCAAACCCCCCAAAAATGAATATATATGTGAGTCTAATCTCAATTGACGTGCCTTGCAAGTCGTCAACAATCATTCAGATCCACTCGCTCTGCAATCCGTCGGAAGGCCCCTGCGCAGATACCTTACGCCGGGCGACTGAGGTCATGGCGCGCATGGGTGGACATCAGCCTCCGCCTCGCAGCTCTATCAAAGAGAATCCAGAGGAGTGGCCACTCATGGGTTCGTGCGCTGGGTGTGAGGCAGATGAGACGGCGCGACATACGACTAGGGCCTGCAGTGCATGTCAGCTCACGCGGTACGTTTGCGTCCAAAGCTATGCAGAAAACACCCGCTGATACCCAGCCCAGATATTGCAGGTGTGTTGGATGCATATCATTAGCCCGACGTTTTACTCATCGTCTTTAGCGAGCAGTGCCAGAAGAAGCATTGGAACGAACACAAGGCGATTTGCAAGCTTAAGCCGCAAGTCAAATGGTACTGGGATTAACGCATGTTAAATTGCATTGTTGTACTCAACTGTAACCTTCGATCGATGCTATTCAACGCGCTACAAACGGTGCCCTCTCGACAACGACGGTGTTTCGCAGACCACTTAGAGAGTCGCCACCAACTTAACCCCACTCACGCCTTTCTGGAGCTTCTCAAGTCCGGCGGGAATAACCTCAAGACCGTGCCCGATGATCTCAACCTTGTTCGTCTGCGAGGATGTTCAATTAGCCCTTTTCCAATGCATCGATGCCATCAACATACCTTGATCTCGCCCTTCTCAAGCATATCCGTCAACACCGCGTACATGGCCGTCCCAAATTCACGATGGCCCGGGAAAGGTACATTGGCGCCGCCAAATGCCCACACAACACGCTTTCCCTCAGCGTCATCCTTTCCTTGCTTGCCGGCGACTGCGTCCGATGGATGCTTCACGATGACAAGCGCGCCGCCCGGCGAGAGAGCTTCCCAGCCTGCCTTCTGCGACTCTGGAGTGGAAATGGCGTCGTACACGTATGTGAGAGGCGTGTCGCCGATGATCTTCGCTACGGCGCTACGAAACTCGGAGTAAGGCACCTCGTGGTAGTCCAAGACGTGCGTTGCACCAGCACTCTTGCAGTACACCTCGTTGTGCTTCGAAGCGGTTGTGATGATGGGATTGAAGCCTCCGAGCTTTGCGAGCTGAATGGCTGTAAGGGTGATTAGCGTCCATCAGAGACAACCGACTTGGAAGCCACCCGCGCACCATATTGCCCTACGGAGCTCGAACCACTAGTGATCAAAGCCGGCTGCCCCGCGTACTTCCCACGTCCACCCTCCTCCCAAGGCGCTGTGAGTCCCGCGCCACCAATATCCTGTCCGGCCTTGGCCAGCTTGTCACCCCTCGGCTTGTACGCGGCAATTGCGGCCGTGGCAATCGTGAGCGGCAAAGTGGCGGCATCCGCATATGACAGCTTCTCCGGTATGCGCGCGATGCGGGCGGCATCGGCGATCGCAAACTCTTGGAAGGTCGCGCGATCCTTCTCGATGTTGGACTGGTAGAAGACCCTGTCGCCCACCTTCCATCCCGTCACGCCTTCACCAAGAGCAACGATATCACCAGCACCGTCCTGGCCAAGGATGACCGGCCATCCGAACTCGCCGAGTATGAAGCCAGTCTTCGCGATGATTCCGTCGATTGGGTTCAAAGCAACGGCCTTGTTGCGAATCAGGACTTGACCGGGACCGGGTGTGGGTGTTGCGCGCTTGCCAAGCTCCAAAGGGGCGCCGGCAGCGGATAAGAGGAGTGCGAGGTGCTGTTGGCTTGCCATGTTGAAAACGGAACGGAGGCCGCGACGAGCTCAGAGCTATAGACGATGTTGAATAGTGCACTCATTATAATACCGTGTCTTCGAGCTTTTATACTCCTGTTGCTAACTGCTGACAGCACGGAGTTCGTCAGACTGGTCTCAGCATGAGTGATACTTCGTTATACGCATTAACCAATGCAACTGCGTCGTCGCCTGAAACCAAGTGAGAACCGGGCTCTTTCGCCGACGGACAAGCCGTCATCGCTTCGACCATCAAGATAAGATAAGATAAACGGAGATGCCGCGTCTAGGCGATGATCTGTGTGATGCGCTGGTGATAAACCTTACCACGAACAGTCTGAAATCTAGCCGTCGGTATTCGGGATCTTATGTAGTCCACATTGATCGCTACACAGCACATACACTTCAGGTACTCTATATCATAGATCTAGCATACGTTCATAGAGTCGCCACCAGCTTAACACCGCTTACACCCTTTGCGAGCTTGCCGAGTCCAGCAGGGATAACCTCAAGGCCATGCCCAATGACCTCGACGTTGTTAGGCTGGCATCATGTTAGCCTTTGCCGTCGGCCATATATGATTAGCGTACCTTGATCTCGCCCTTCTCGAGAAGATCGGTGAGCACAGCGTACAGGCCATCCCCGAACTCGGCGTTGTATGGGTCTCCCAAAACGCTGGCGACCCACACCAGGCGCCTCCCTGCCTCGTCTTCCTGACCTGGCTTTCCCACGTCGGGCGAGGGCGGAAGCACGACGACCAGGACTCCGCCAGATGAGACCAAGTCCCAGCCAGCCTTCTGCGTATCCGCGGTCGAGACGGCATCGTAGACATACTTGATCGGCGCGTCGCCCGTGATCTTCTTCACGGCCGCGGAAAGTTCAGCATAGGGGATATCGTGATAGTCGATGACGTGCGTCGCGCCCGCGCTCTTTACATATGCCTCGTTGCGCTTGGAGGCCGTCGAGATGATGGTGCTGAATCCCGAGAGCTTCGCGAGTTGGATGGCTGCATTCTGCGTCAATACTGCATCTTTGCTCCGTAATAGCGCACTCACCGAACTGGCCGACAGAGCTAGCGCCTCCAAGAATGACAGCAACCTGCCCGGCATACTTTCCGCGACCTCCCGCCTCCCAGGGAGGAGTGAGCCCCGCACCGCCGACATCGTGACCATCAGGGCGCAAGTCAGAGAGCCTGGGCTTGTATCCACCCACGGCGGCCGTGGCGAGTCCAAGAGGTACAGTGACAGCTTTCTCGTACGACAGATTACTCGGAATCCTTGCGATGCGTGACGCGAACGCGAGTGTGAGCTCCTGGAACGAGTCGGTGTCTGCCATATACGCCGCCTGGTAGATGACCTTGTCGCCGACATTCCAGCCTGTCACGCCCTCGCCGAGCACAGCAATCTCGCCAGCGCCATCCATGCCCGCGACGGCGGGGAAACCGAAGATACTGACAATGTAGCCGGTGGCCTGGATGAAGAGGTCGACAGGGTTCAGGGCCACAGCTTTGTTGCGTATGAGGACTTGACCAGGGCCTGCCGTGGGCGTGTCACGTTTGCCAACCTCGAAAGCGGCGCCAGCAGCAGGCAGAATAAGAGCGGAGTGTTGCGTTGACATGGTAGTAACGCTGTCGGTGCGCGGACTCGGTTATGTTTGGGGGACGATTGATTTACCTGCCTAGTTTTTATACTCCTGTCAGAGACACTATTGCGCAAGAGTTGCTGGGCGCTTACCACTCTGATCAGCCTGGTCAACGGGATACATCCCGGGACTGTCTTGAGATTCGATACTACGAACAAGCTGGATTGACGACTTCACGGTCCTCCGATCGTATCACCGTCAGCACGTAAACATGATTGACTCAGCACCGATGCATCCAAGGCAACCCGTTGCCTCCGTTCAACCGCGGAGTACAGTCAGTGAGCCTCGACGGGGATAACCATAACCAGGCATCGTGAGGAATAGACTGGGGACGATCGTCGGGAAGTAGATTATAGGAGAATGCCAGAACTCCATTGTATGCGCACTACGTCGCGGGTCATGGGGACCTGGCGTCGGCGAATGGGACCGTTCCTGGGTGCTTTTACTTCACGCATACTGAACGTCAAGTACGTATATCCAATGAACAGCCAGCGAGGAATATGTTGCAGCAGCGATATACAAGATAATACAGACGAGAGATCCTTGTCCATCTATGCGGGCCATCGCGTGTAAAGCTTGAGACGGAACAAGATCCAGATTCCATGGGCGGCAATCCCGTTGCCGAGGTCGGAGTATGACCGAGAGGGCGCCTTACCTCCTCTCGCGGACGTAGACGTGAAGCACGACGTATGAGAGGATGGTGAACCCGCCGAAGAAAATGCCGAGGAGGGCGACGTTCGGCCACCAGAAAGATTGGGCTCGGAGACCGAAGGTCGACAGGATAGTTGCGGCGGGCACGTCGAGATCGACACCGTACTGAGAGGTATGTTAGCACTGGCATACAGACGACGAAACGGAACATACCTTGTGCTCGCGTAGGGTGAGGTAGCGCAGCTCGTTGACCGCCAGCGCCTCGAAAGCGGCATGGAAGAACGAAATGTCGTGCAACCACTGCAGCCATGGTGCCACCTTCGAGCGGTTGATCAAGAGACCGGTGAATAGCAGGCTAAGGGCGTGCATCAGTACTGTATTCTCCTAGTCCAGGAATCTGGTTGAGAGCACTCACTTAAACAAGATGACGAGGGTGCCACACAAGTTGGCAACGCTCGTGCTCTCGCAGGCCACCGAGATCAAGAGGATGACACTGGCCGTGGTGAGGTTGAACAGTACGAGAACCAGAACGAACTTCCAGAACGCCGCGACGGTCGGAACGAGGCCGACAAGACCATAGACGATACCACCGAAGAGGATTGGTGGTACGACGCGGAGAGGGATGATGTCGAAGAGTATCTTGGAGGCGAAGTAGGTGAATGAGGAGTAGTAACCGTTCGCGCTGTCATTTACGTTAGCGACCGTGTGAACATGTAGGACAAGGAGGGCATACCGTTCACGCATGAAGAGGATACGCTCGTTTGCGAATAGGCCGAGACTGGACAAGCAGGCGAAGCCGAATAGCGCAAGAGTGAAGAAGAACACCCCCAACCGGTTCTGGAAACCACCGATGTCGTCTGTTACATCATGGTAGAAAAGACCGCATAGCACTAGAAGCTCAGAGTCAGTACAACGGCCAAGTGGAAACGGTGAGAACACTCACAGGCAAGGGCAATGGATGAAGAGTACTGCGCCGCGAGCAGGCCGGGGTCGCGGTACAAGTTCTTGAATGCACGGCCGCTCAAGATGCGGAACTGGGTGGCCCAGCTAGCGCGCTTGCGTCCACGCAAGACCGTCGTCTCCGCAACATCCGCTGTCTCTGCAACCTGCGATGATGCAATATCGGCCCGGATGGACTTCGCGACGTCGCTATCCGCGTACGCATCCACGAGCTCGACCAAGTACGCAGGGGCCGGGGTTGTCTCCTCCGCACGCGAGCTGATGGACATAGCCTCGAGGAACTGAGACGCCTTGCGCTTGACGAAGCTGCCACTTGATGGGCGTTCCTGCAGTTCAGTCTCGTCGGTAGCTTGACCGGATGCATCATGCGGTGGAAGCAGACCACGTTCCTCGTCTCGAAGGTTGTCGCTTTCATCAGACTGGAAGACGGTTGGCGAGCTCGTAGACGTTGTCTTCTCCTTCTCTTGCATGGTCAAGTCAACTGTTGGCTTGGTCAGCATGATGTACATCAGGGTATCACAGATGACGTACTCAGGAAGTCCGCGACGTTGTAGCCAGGCGGGCATGGATGGCCGGTCTCCTGGAAGAACGTCTGGCAGCGAGTGAGGTCGCCGGCGTAGACGAGCTTGCCCTGCGCAAGAAGAACGAGCTGATCGAACAGTGACACGATGTTGCTGCGGGGCTGGTGAATGGTGAAGACGACCGTGCGCTTGTAGTCGCGAGCCAAGGTGACGAGACTCTCCACAACGTTGAAGGCGTTGTATGCATCCAGACCACTCGTGGGCTCGTCCAGGAAGAGAATGGAAGGGCTTGTTACGAGTTCGCATGCGATAGATACTCGGCGCTTCTCACCGCCGGAGATGGAGCGATGCCCTAAGCATACGTTGAGAAGCGTGACAAGTGCACCCTAAGGGTGTTGCTTACCCGAGTCTCCAATGCGCGAGTCTTTGATGTGCAGAATGCCGAGTTCATTCATGGTCTCCAGTGTACGGAACTTCTTCGCTTCCAAACTCATGTCGCGCGGCAGACGGAGCAACGCGGAGTAGAGAACGGTCTCGTAGACCGTCAGAGTGCTCATAAGGGTATCCTCCTGGTCGACGAAACCAACAACATTGCGGAACTCTGCGTCGCCCACGATGCGACCATTGACCAGAGTTGTCCCTGTAACGATGCCACGTTTGTTCTTCCGAGCGAGGATGTCCAGGAACGTCGATTTGCCGGCACCGGACGCGCCGATGATTGCCATGACCTGTCCAGGGTGGACAGAACCAGTGATACCATCAAGGATAGTACGACCGCCCAGTTGGTATGAGATGTCGACAAACTGGAGAGACGCGGGTACGTGGTCGGCCATAAGACGTGCGACTTCATTGTCGGGAAGCTTGATAGCACCGCCATCGCTGCGGTGTACGCGCCCAGCGTACCAAAGGACTATCAGAGATTAGAGCATGAATCTCAGGACGTGCGTGCAGCGACGTACACAGTGATGCCAGGATAACAAAGACGACTGCTCCAGCTATACTCAACGCGACCCAACGCGTATTATCAGGTTTCTCGGGAGCCTATCGGGCTATTAGCCGTCTACTGGAAGGGTAGCCGATTCGCACGTACGATGTAACCTGGGACTTGCGAGTAGTGCAAGCATTCGCCGCCGCCGCACTGCAAGGTGATAGACGAGTCACCAAAGACCTGGTCAATAAGGTCGTTCATAGCCGGCTCCTCGAAGCTACAACCTCTGCCGGTCTCACAACGGAATGTTGCAGGGCCCTTGATCTCTTCGTTTAGGAAATCGTCGAGGTCTACAGCACATCAGCGGCTGGAGAACGCTCAACGTAGTGTGAACTCACTGATACTACCGTCCTCTCCACATAGGAAGCGGTCGGCAACACAGTTGCATTTCAGGTGTTCGCATTCGTACAGTGTGACGTTCTTGTCGTAGCTGTGCTCAACCCTTGTCTTACAAGTATCCAGCGCGCAGTAGAACGACTCAACCTGGTCGACCCAGAACTGGAAGTCGCATTTGGAGGCCGGCTTGTTGCAGCTAAAGGTAACCTGCGGTGGGCGTCCCGGTAACATGTCAAGGATCTTGCGGTCTACAGGCGCATCAGTTCCGCTTCCAGATAAGGTACTGTATTGAACGTACTGGTCACGTCGCACATCTGGTGATTGCTAAATACAGTCTCTCCGCCCGTGTAACATGTCATATTCTGGTCTGCCGTTTCGTCATTCTCCCAGTCTGGCGGTAGACCCCATAGCGGAAAGCCCTTGCACGCCGCATCATGTTGACAGACTACATTGAATGTGAGGGGAGACAGTCAATCAGATAGAACTGCGGTACCCACCGTTACAATTGATTCCACCCCATCCGTCCTTGCAGTCACACGTCTTCCCGTCCTCCCGCAAGTGGCGTTCATCGCCGTCGGCCAAGGAATCGCACTCTGTTCGCGCTCATGAGCATATCTACACTAGATGTCACAAGCTCAGAGCTTACGAGGTGTCAGGCAATCGATTCCTCCCCATCCCGGTGGACAATTGCACTGCCCGCTATACGCGTCACAGTCACCGTACTGTCCGCACTTGAACTTTGGTAGTTGGCAGTTGAAGCATGGCGGACATTTATCTATATTCGTTTAGACGATGAAGTATACCACGTGTAGAAGTCACATACCTCGAGGAGCTGTCAGATCCCCTAGCAACTGTAAGCGTTATTAGTGACCGAATTGCCATTTCAGTATCCCGACGCGCACCGAGGACTGAGAGCCTGAGAAGCTCATTTGGCTAAGATAGCCAGTCGTGTTCCTGGCCGCACTAGCCAAAGTGCTGGCCAGCACGGCGCATAGTAGTATAGCTCGACCCCGCGAGGTCATGGTGGCGGGTTGTAAGCTGTGAGACGCATGCGCACGGATGAGCGCGCGCTGCGGGGACTGAGATCGACGGTGCCGGGACGGAACTCGGCCCGATGACGCGCGGGTTGATGGCGTCAACTTGTCTCGGCGCCCAAGTTGATCTCGTACTGCCACCTCGCCTCGGCGACTACCCATAAACTCAACCGTATATGATCACTTTGCAACCTCGAAATAGGCCGTCTGCCGCAACATGAGTTTTGTACTAGATATACTGCTCCTCGCCGGTGGCTGGGCGCATGTACTTGCCGCGCCATACACCAAAGTCGAAGAAAGCTTCAACCTGCATGCTACACACGATATTCTCATGTACGGTGTGACACCGGATGCTCTACCAAATGTGCGCCTGACCGAAAATGAAGGTTGTATCAAGACGGTCGCTGATTGTGGCTAGTATGACCACTTCACCTTCAGCGGCCCAATACCCAGATCCTTCATTGGGAGCTTGGCGCTCGCGACAATGTCTCGTCCAGCTTTGCTAGCCGCCAGTTCTCTCGAGCTACTGAAGGACAAGTCGGATATGCAGGTCGTAGGTCTGTATCATCTCATCTTGATGATTGGCCCCTATCTTATCTAATGTATGTACAGTGCGCTTGGTGCTGGCGAGCGTTAATGCCTTCGGGTTGATGTTGCTACGCCGTGCTACACAACGACGCTTCGGCAGACTTGCCTCGCTCTTCTTCACACTGCTCACTCTATCGCAATTCCACGTGTTGTTTTGGATGGGAAGGACTCTTCCCAATATGTTTGCACTCTTTCCCGGTACGTCGGCTCCTCAACGACTCTTGCTAGACACGGCTGACGTCTAAAGATAGTCAACTTCGCGCTCTACTTACTCTTCGACCGGGAGAAGAACTCGATACGTCCGACCATTCGGCGCCTACACTCTGCATTCTTCTTGCTTACCTTCGCCGGCGTCGTACTGCGAGCTGAGGTTGTGGCGTTGTTGATTCCTCTGGCTTTACAGTCGTTGCTCGGCGGCCACGTCTCGTTCTTAAAGCTCATTCGTACCGGTATCATCTCAGCCCTTGTGTCAATAGGTATGTTTTCTGAATTCATCTCCATGGCTCGTTACTGATGTATCAACAGGGATCACTACATTCATAGACTCCTACTTTTGGAACACGTACCCTCTATGGCCAGAATTCGCCGGGATATACTTCAACGTGTACGAGGGCAAGAGCGCAGAGTGGGGTGTATCCCCTGCGCACGCCTACTTCTCGAGTCACCTCCCGCGACTTCTACTGCTGGGCGTTCCCCTGGCGATCTTCGGCGCTTTGATCGACTCAAGAGCGCGGGAAGCTGTGCTGCCGGCGCTTTGCGCTGTCGGCCTGCTGAGCGGGCTTGGTCATAAGGAGTGGCGGTTCATCGTGTATACCGTCCCGATGTTCAACTTCGCGGCGGCTCGCGGCGCACGTGCTATGTTCGTCGTCACCACTCAGACTCCAGTTCTGTTCGTACTCACACTTTCTGTACAGAGCCAGCATGCGCAAGGGCGCTATCATCGGACGCATCGGCTTCTTGATCGTCATGGGTGTTCTTGTTGCAAATACGGCGGCCACCATCGCCTCGACCATTGCAGCTTCTGCGAACTACCCGGGCGGCGTCGCGCTCATGCGCTTCAACAACCTTACGGCATCCGCTACAAACGGTGCGCAGCTTTCCTAACGACATCTTCTCTGTTCTCACATCTCCGCCTAGTGCATGTCCATATCTCCAACCTTGCCGCCCAGACTGGATCTTCGCTCTTCCTCCAAACCCACGCGCCACCCTTCCCCACATACCTCAACTTCACGAACCCCTCCCTCGACACTTGGACGTACAACAAGACAGAGAACCTCTCAGACGACGATCTTACGCGCGGACCCTTCACGCATATCATCGCAGAAAAGCCACCATCCAGATGGTCATTGTCTTCTCGCTCATGGAGCGTCGTCGAAACCGTACCTGGCTTCGCCGGATGGAAGTACAATCTGGGCGTAAAGAAGTTGATCGAAGAGTATGGGTGGATGGGGCTGTGGGAGGTTGTTCCCCAGGTCAAGACGGAGGAGAAACTGTGGATCGCCGAAAGATCTACTTTGCTGTGATGAATGCGCCGCACTCATACTATACGTTGGACAGCCAGAGAGTCATTGAAAGGTTCATCAGTTGCATCAGTCTCCTCGCGGGTTATCGAAGTTATATGTATGAGCGCTTAAGCGGCTCATCGTAACTGCTGACCTCCGCTCTCACACGTCGAAGTCGCGTCGCCGTATAAGTATACGGTTCTCGTCTGGCCCCTTTCTTCTCGCCCACCATCAGATACGATCGCCCTTCTCACCGCTGAGAATGCCCCAAATATTTCGCGTACATGTTCAGGGGACAGACGACGATTTGCAGAGTGCTCTTCCACCGTATGGACGAGTGGTTGAAGACATCAAGCGACGTTCGTCTACATTGACTTGCGTGGACTTGACTGACGCTCAACTAGTTAAGGTTATTTTGAAACTGGGCTCGCTGTTCGGGGACTTGGAATCTGAGCCGCTTGGGTGGATGGGAACCTCTGATGAACTTCGGGACCAGACGGAGTCGGTGCGATACATGGCGTTCCTCCCCGAGTTATTTCTCTGGAGTTATCTTGTGAGACCCGTCGACGGTAAGCGCTGCTTGAAACCTGAGTTCTGTGGAGTGATGACTAAAACAGCATTATCCAGTACCCAGCGAGTCGGTTGAAAGCGCCATCTTCGCATTGAAGCACTACATCAAGATTCTGGAGAACGAGACTGATGCCACACTTGTCCTATTGGGATTTCCAGACGAGAGCGTGCCTGCGGAAGCACAGCATCGTACAGCCATAATGGTCAGCCGGATGCTCTATAACTGCTGTATTTAAATTCATCATCCGACTCAAGCTCATGAATGCTCGGCGCAAACTCTCCGAACATCTGATGTACGTGTACTATCGGAACGATGGTGGATGTATAATGGAGAAGCTCATTCGATATGCTCATTCCAGGCGCCCTGGAATCAACAGGCCGACAGAGGCAAGCCCCCATATGAGAGCATACTTGGAGTACCACCAAGATATGTACAAGACTTTCAACGAGACGATGGATCATTGGATGCGTTACCCGTGCGTACCCTTGACTTTGATTTACTCAAGGTCCCTGCGGCCGTACTCAACCGTGTGTTATAGAAACGACTGGGTTGACTGTGGGGAGGTAATGTGCTTGAGTGGAGATTTCAGTGATGCGAGAGAAACCCTTGAACGCGGCCTGGCAGGTTGCGAGGCTCGCCCAAAGCAACCGGGCGTGGACATATACCTCCTTCGTTCCCACATCCATCTATCGCTCATTCTCGATCGGCTGGACGTCAATCACGCCGCTCAAAAAGAGTCAGTTTTTTCCCACTCACGAGAGTCTCGAGAGCTGAAGAGTGACTTGTTCCTAGACATACAGATTGGGCCGTCAAACAGCTTCGTAGATCTCCGACTAGAGTGCTCCGCAAGGAGGAGCTGAGCCAATACCTGCTACCTACCGTGGGCGGAAAGATGCACCCTGTACTGCAATCACTAGGTGGGAAGTCGTGGCTGAAGAAGGTTAATGCGCACGTCAACTCAGGGCTGCAATCGTGGAAGGAGGAGGAACGCTCTACGAGATCCTGCCTTCACTGCGGGGTTCGGGACGTTCAAAAAGCTTTATCTCGCTGTGCTCGATGCCAGTCTTGCTACTACTGGTGAGTAGACATGTACTTGAGGTGGCCTATAAGTAATCCTCCGTAGTTCGAAAGACTGTCAAAAGGCCGATTGGGAAGCGCATAAGTGAGTACAACCTTTCGTGTACTTTGTACGTGATGTTCTCGAGCTGACAGGAGATGACTAGAAAATCCTGCCAGTGAGTTCATACCGAGATGTTGAGAAGATGTGCCAATCTCTACGTCCCAGAGAGCGACATGAGCGCCTCAAAGAGCTCGAGGCGCGGAAGAAGGAGGATCCGGTCATTGGACAACAATTGACCGATCTTTCTGAGTGGATGGATGCTCCTGCCCAGCACCGAAGGGATGCTCACATCTCGGCTCTCGGTGTACATCGTGATCCGTCTCGAGGCCGCACGCACATCTTGATGGAAGGCATGGCATATACGCCAGACGCTTCGGATGACCCGCGCTACAAGTTCACTGTCACCACCGCCGGTGTTTTCCGCATCTCGGACGTGCTGCAGTCGATAGAGCTTTCTCTTGGGCTCACTGCAGGAGAGGGCCAATCCTATATCCAGTCAAGAATTGACAAAGCTCTGGAGAGCCGAGCCCCAGACTTACAAAGGGGCGATCATCTCATCGTGATCCCTATTTTGAGTATGTGCTCAGGAATCAAGCCCGGCCAACTTCACTTTCGTGAGTCCGCTTTGCCCGTGATGTATATGTTCTTTCGGACTCAACGATATGAGGCAGAAATGGCCTCCTCTTTGGCTCTTCGCGAATTGCCGATCCCTTACAATCCAGAGTGGCGAAAGGCCATCAACGGCAAGTTGGGTGTTGTTGCCGGCGACATGATACTTAGATACCAGCCTGGTGTCAAGGATGTAGAGACGGTGTTCGAATAAAGATGCGTTGACTGCGTCGTATGTAACATAGACCCGCCCATGGGCCTACTTATATTTGAACTTGAGTTACAATCTAATGTGCGTTGTGTGGACACTTGGAGGTCCTCGCGTGGTGATCGGACATTCTCGTCCGAAGCGCGTCCAGCCGCGACGCGACGCGCGCGACTCGGACGCGACTTGGCTCTCTACCATCACCATCTGCTGCGGCCGGAAGCGCCGGTGGTTTGTGGACCCCAGCAATGCCTCTTCCTATGCGAGCACATCTTGACGGGGTGGACGATCCCAAACTACAGGGCCGGCTCCCTGCTCTGAATGATGTGGTCGATGATGTGAAACGGCGTTAGTCCACTCGCACGGCCCTCGCTACATCAACATGACTCATCGTGTTTTAGTCAATGCTACTGCACAGAATGGTGGTGTTGACAAGAATGTCAAGATTTCCTTGCAAGGACCCGACGGGACCGTCACTGAGCTCAAGAATCCGAGCGAAGCAGTGCGGTACAATATCCATTTTCCCAACCTGTTCCGCTGGAGTTACCTTGTGAGGCCTGAAGATGGTAAATATCTCTTATATATATATATATCTCATACCATGCTCTGACCCAGAATGACAGTTCCCGACGAGGTTGACGGCGTGAAACTTGTTGAGAGCGTGATCTTCGCCTTGAAGACATTCCATAAGATCATGGAGGAAGAGTCGGACGACACGCTCCATCTAATGCGGCATCTTCTAGACGACCAGTACGGGAAGAAGGCGAAGCGTGCGAGACATCTAGCCGTTGGTACAATCTCGGGTTCTCAGAATACCTGCTGATCATCGACAAGTTTCTGAATACGTGTTTCAAAGCCGGATATCATCTCATGTGCGTGTCCAACTTCACGCTTTTGCTGTGAATACTCTCCAACCTACGCAAACGGAGTATAGGCAGCCTACAATTGATAGACAAGTAGAAGCGGCCCATTACTTGAAGATCTCAATCGACGTCTCCAGAAAGGAGTTCTCGGGCATTTCAAAGTTGGATCATTGGCTTCTCAACCCGTATGCTTTTCTGGATATGACCCTTTCAGTACATCCTAATGTGTCTTGACTAGAGCTGTCTGGGCGTATTATGGAGAGGCTCTGTGTCTGAGCGAGAACTTCAAGGAGGCGAAAGTGACACTGGAACACGCCTTGGTGGGTTGTGAAGCTGGTTCACAGCCTAGTCTCGCAGCTTTTACGTTGCGATGTCATATAAACTTGTCGCGCACCCTCCATCAACTGAAAACGGACACCGAAGTCCAACGAGAGTACGTTGCCGTATATCCGGGCCATTCTTCGAAACCTCATGCGTCCATAGGCACACTGAATGGGCTGTCACACATCTTCGGAAGACCCCAACGCGCTTCTTGTCCAAGACGATGCTGAAACATATCCTACGGCCGTGCAAAGGAACCCCGCATCCCGTCCTGGAGTCGCTCGGTGGCCACTCCTGGCTTGACAAAGTTGACGGGCGCGAGATCCTATCTTACAAAGAGGAAGAGCGCTCGGTCAAAGTGTGCCGACACTGTGGCATCCGGGATGTACAGAAGGCGCTATTCCGTTGTTCTCGCTGTCAATACATGTTCTACTGGTGAGCGAACACGATCCTGCGTTTGTGCTTGGTACTGCGATGTCTAATATCGTGTGTATCTTAGTTCGAAAGCCTGTCAAAAGGCTGATTGGAAGACACATAAGTACGTTCTCCCCCTGTACTAGTCGAATTCTATTGCCGATTAATCAGTGCTCTTTAGGGAAGGTTGCACGTTTGTATACGTCTTTGTCCCCGGAGCGTCGCTGATCGTTGCGTAAAAATGACTCTTCCAGTGACAGGTACAATTCCATCAAGAAGCTCGAGAAACTCAAGAAGGAAGACTCGGTTGCCGCTCAGCGCCACGCGGACTGGATGGAGTGGCGCGACTCTCCGGCTGCTCATCGCAAGAACGCGCATATCAGCGCGCTCGGCTTACACAAAGACCCCATGCGTGGTCGAACACATATCGTGCTGCAACTGGTGGAATATACTCCCAATACTTCAAAGGATCCAAGGTCCAAGTTCACGATCGTGGCAACGGGTGTTTTCCGTATCAAAGATGTCCTGAGGATGATCGAGCCGTCCATGGGTTTGAGCCCTGGAGAAGGGCCATCTTTTATCCAGGAGGTGCTTGACGAAGTAGACCGGACTGCAAGACCATCTCGGGACGTAACCAGTCTCATACCCATCCTGGACCTTTCGTTCGGGAAGGGCGTTGAGACATGGCTGGGCAGCAGTGCGTCTATGCGCTTCCCTGACTGTATGCTGCTGAGGCGAACTAATACATGATGCAGACGCCACATCGCACTCGGCTCTCCGGAACCATCCTTATAACCAGGACTGGCGAAAAATAATCAATGGCATCGGAATCGTGCCAGAACCTCTGACTCTCGTGGATGAGGTGAACGCGAAGGACGTGGAGCACGTCTTCGATTAGATACAAGTACATCCGACGCCACTTGCGCAATCCAATATCAAGAGAACCATGGCGGTAGCTGTACAGTCATGTGTATGAGATAGTGTATTACTTCTCCGCTTTCTCACACGCGGGCCGCGGTCACGCCGCACAAATTGCTCATGCTTTCATGGACGGACGCCACTTTACCTTCACCCTCCCTTCGGCTCTATCATTGACCTCATTTAGCTGACAAAAGGCTCTTCCAGTCCAACACCTCGTAGCGCCTAAATAGCACGTGTGCCTGCTATAAGTGTCGCGCTTCTGATGTCCGGACCAGTAACCGCTTCCCCGTCTCGGGACCCAGTTTAGACGTGCTTTCTCCGCCCTCTTAATCGTTCAACTTCTTTGCTTCTTACGGTCATCGCCCCAGCGCTGCGCTGGCTCTGACGATCTATGCCTCTGCTCCTTTCAGCAGAGTGCGTTCCATTCTTCACTTGCGCGCCTCCTCGATATGACCGACGTGCGCACCCAGCGCCTCAACCTGCATACACTGCCGCCGGAGCTATTGAACGCTGTCGTGGATGTCCTTCCCGAGCGTCATGACCTCTTGGCGCTGGCGCTAGTCTGCTCTACGCTTCGCGATATAATCGTTCCTGGACATATCCAATATCGTGTCCTGGTCGCGAGTGAGGAAGAAGTGGGCTTGTGGGCTTGTCTCGCAGTGCGCGGTCATCTCGCCCGCAATGTACGCGACCTGGAAATCTTCGACCGGCTCGAGTTTGAGCGTCGGACTCAATGGGGAGAACCTGTGTGCCCGCGTCTTCCGTCTTGGACAGACACCGATCGGCGTGGTCTGGCCTACCTCGAGGAGCTGTACCTCGCCGAATCTTTGCCCCGTACCCAACGTTCGCTGGCAGGACGCGTCGCACTTAGCCGCGCTCTACGGGCCATGACACGGCTGGAGTCTGTCACTATCCACGCGACGTCGGGTATGACACCGGAGGATGTGCAGGGAAAGTTCGACCTGATATCGCTCGTGCTCGGCGCGCTATCTGGGACACCGCGGCTAGTTTGTAGCGAATGGACGGACCCGTCGCTCGGGCCGGATTCTTACCCGGCGACCGCGGACCACCCGGTGAGTATACAGTTCTCCTTCCATTCTATTGACGGATCCTGACATCAATCGTAGTTGTTCTCGCAAGCATGGTTGCGTACCTTAGACGTGCGTGAACTAGTGCTCAATGTCGAGCTCTGGCCAGCACTTTGTGCAATGCTGGTACACTCCCCAGGACTGGAGGTACACGTAACATACAATTGAATGCACCCGGAATAAACTCTAACCTCTTCTCCCCTGGCAGGTCCTTGGTGTTCCGGCCTTCCGTGATTCGTCGCAGATCGCCGTAGCGACTGCGTCGGTTCCCAGTCTCCGACGCCTCAAGAGCCTCTACATCGCAGAGAAGATGCACAGCCCAAGCATTCAAGCGGCCTTGTTCGACTTTCTCAAGTCAGCCAATCACGATCTCCGTGAACTGCGGTGGACATGTCCCCCGCTTGTTGACGCGCCGGTGCCACACGTCCCTTCGCTTCGTCATCTGCGCAACTGCAGTACCCCGTTCCTTCTACGCTTCTTATCAGGCGTCCCGTCGTGCTCTCTCCGCCTCGACAGTCTAGGGCCCCTCGCTTTCACACCGTCTCACGCACCCCATCTGCTGGCGTCTCTATCTGCCCTGGACCCAACAGCATTGCACACGCTGTGCTTATCCGCCGTGGATTCACCGCAGACACTACAAACACTCTCGCGCTCCTTCCCTGCGATTCAAAACCTCACATTACCTTGCTGGCCGTCGTGTGTAGACAACACACCCACCCTCTCACGTGCAGCGTATACAGTCTGGAATATGTTCGCGCTATCAAGCACTCCGTCCCTGAACATCCAGCGCCCATCGGCAGCGGCACTACTGACGCTCTTCCCTCACTTGCGTGACGTGCGCTTCGTGGATACCGGGGACGAAACACTCAACGCGGTCAAATGCTTGGACGAAGGCGCAAGCGTGTCACCACCTGAGGCATGTCGGGAGACGGTTTCGGCGCTAAGGAAGCGCTATCCTGGTCTACAGTCGGTAAATGGGTGGAAGATCGCGGAATGAACCCGGCGTGTGATACGCGTACGAGCTCTACTTACATAATCTGAACCTGCACATCTCTCCAGTCGTCCGTCGGCACTGAACACCAATATCGTAGCCTACAATTGTCATTTACATTGGAAGGAACCCTGTACATATATAATAAGGATGAGTTGGGACAACGAAAGAGCGACGTGAGCAAGCGAAGGAAACAACAAGGGGACAACAAGACAGTAGACGAGAAGGGAATAGTGATATGCAGATGGGTACTGAAGGTCCGAATGTCCGTCTCGTCGCGTAGGCTCGGCCTTTGCATTCGAGATCATAGATGAGCCAAACTACTATCCTGGGTAAAGGATGCCGGCTCTTATGAGTCGTGATCCAATGCTCTCCGATGGATCCAGCTTCCATCCATTGACCGTCCGCAACCGAGGGTACCGCTTCCGCAATGAAGCGACAGTCTTCGCCGCACCAGGAGGTGGATCGCGCGGATGGCGCTGCTTGGACCGGCCACGCGTCACGTTGAGCTGCGAGTCGCCTACATCGACCGAATGAACCGAGCGCAGTCTCGGGAAGAGTTTGAGGGCTTTGTCTACCGACATGCGGCGCCAATTGATACGCATTGGTTCACCACGGGCCGGTGCAAACGAGATGGCGCGCCAAAATCGGCGCGCCGCGCGTGCAACTGGATGTGGTCGCGTCCAGCTGCACCAACCAGGGAGCGATAGCTCCTCCAATGCCGGGAACATCCGGGAAAGTGTGCGCAGAGTGCGAGTTGAGTCAACACATGCTACATGGAGTCGTCGAAGGGACTTAGAATCCAGAGCCTCCAACGCCCTCAACAATCTGTCGGGATCGAAGTAGAAAGCTGGGTTCGTATGTAAGTTACCGCTGACCGTGGACTTGGCAGGCTGTCACGCACCAATACTCTCAAGCGCGCGAAGTTTTACGGACCCTGGTTCTCGATTGTGCAAGAAGCGGGCGACAAAGAACGAGTCCGTGTCTCGTAAGGTACGCAGTGAGGGGAGCGTAGGGAAAGGCGCGTCGAAATCCGGTAATTGTATGGCACATCCCCAACGGAGGTCTGAGACTGGAGGATCGCGCAGCAGGTACGCCAAGAGAGCCTCTTGTACGTCGACATTAGACATAGCGGGAGGCACCGTCAGGCGTCGCAAACAAGACAGATGCGGCATCTCCGCAGCATGGTTCACAACTTCGCCGCTATCACTGAATGCTGGCATGAAGACTGGGAGCGATAACACCTGGAAAGGGTGGCAGATCTTAGTCTCGGGGACATGCATTTGAAGGTAGACGGTCACACGAACCCGCAACTGAGGTGAATGGGACAACATCTCGCAAAAGACCGGCCATATTGGAGCATCCATCCATAAGTCGGGGAATTCCAACGATCGTAGAGCATGCATGGTGAATACCTGCTAGATCTGTAAGTTGCCACTGACTGTGAGTAGGAAGATGGAAAGAGACATACGGGATGCAGTGCCGGCGTCGGGTACGGGAATAACTCGAAGAAATCAGGCGCATAGACTGGTCTGCTCCAGGTCACCCGCAAAGTTTCGATGTTTGGTACGGCACGGCACGCCAGTGAGAACAGGTCGCGTCCGGCGGCAATGTCGTCGGCAAGCACACAGCCTGAAGCGCGTATCGAGAGTGATCTCAGCCCGATCATGCTCTTCAGCGCCATTGCGAGTGCGGTTCGTTCGAGCTCCCTTCCGTCTGCATTCAGACCGCACTGCATCAGGAGAGGTCGCATCGCGCATAATAGGCCAAGACCCTCAATGATCTTGAAGCAAGGCGGAAGGTACATTTTAGGGCGGTCCCTGAAGTGCGCGACTTCGCTGCGGTTGTACAGCGTCAACTGGTGGACATTCCGCGCCAAGTCGGGTCTCGCCGCGAGGTAAGCCCATAGCGGGGCATGGAATTCGGACGCAACTATCACACGGAAGTGGAGATGCCGAGGGATGATGGCGTCGCGAAGGGGCGAGCACGTCAAGGCGAGCGAGAGTAGGTCCTTTCGCCCAAGAAGGTCAAGTACTATCTCCAGGAGTTCCGGTGGTAAGTGTAGTATACCGGCTGGCGAAACGCTCAGAGTTGCCTCCATGGACATTGGACGTAAGATACGCCACTAGAGTACCACCTGGCGTGGCAGGGATGGTGGTAAGATGGAAGCTGTGGATAGACGCCCGCGAGCGCGCAGGCGGCGCCACCGGCCACCGGTCACCGTGCACGCCATCGCGTGCGACGAGCCCTGGCTAACTTGTCTCCTGCGCTGATTGCGTCTTCACCCACCCCCAACAATAACTGTATCTATGTCAATTCACATCTTTCACCTACTACGGTCCCGTCAATGATCTACGTCACTTGGCTGTTCATGGCAATCGTTCCCCGCGCCAGTGCGCTGAAGTTTCCAAATGGAGACGAGGACAGGAACAATGTAACAGTTGCTGCTCACATACCCAACGATGATATCCCCATGCTGACGAGCCCTTGACAGACCGAAGAAGTTTGAAGCTTGATGAGATAATGAGTCGGCCAGCTTGCAGGCGTCGTTGGCGCCGGCGTGCGCATTGTGCTCCCTTTCTGGGTCAGGGTCAGAAATATTGCACGGCGCTTCGGTCAAACGTGTCACGTCAGGCTTACAACCTCTGCGGTCATGCTTGACCATGCTTCTCCTTTTAACTAAAGGCGCTTCAAGGCCTTACGTTCAGTCTACTCGTCCCTGCTCACAGTTGGTCGTTAACCGGACTGCCAGTTCACTATCGACCGGACTCGCTTCATCGCGGGGATCAATCAACCTCCCCCCGCGCTCCTTCTGTCCCTATGTCATTCTCAGACGCCAGCCCAGAGCTAGAATGGTTCAACGTCCTCATTGGCCTCCTGTTCATCGCGTTCAACGCTGCACTCTCCCACTTTCTCGAGCTTGGTGTAGGCCAATGCCTTATCACCGCCTCCGCACGATGTATCATCCAATTAACCATCGTTTCGCACCTGCTCGAACGTGCGTTCAGCTCCCATGACCCAAGGACGACGTTGGGAATCATTGGTGCGTATCGCTTACTGTGGCTGAGCTTCTGAACTTCTTTCTGACGCGCTCATTGCGTCTTTCAGTCGTGCTGAATACCCTTGCCGCGCTCGAAGCCGTTGCCAATAAGTGCAAGCGCCGGTATGATGCCATGTTCGTCATCGTGCTCGCGTCAATGCTGCTCTCGACGATACCTATGTCGTACGTGGGCGTCCGCTTCGCGATGAGTGTCGATCCTGTGTCAAAGCCTGCAAGATACAGTAAGTGGGAAGTCCGTTGTTCGCTATTCATGATCTAATCGTGTATAGTTCCGATCGTCGGGATGCTCTGCGGAAATACCATATCCAAGCTTCAAGTCTCTCTGGCCTACGTACTTGAGGAACTCAGCACGAATCGCGCGAGAACTGAGACCTACCTCGGCTTCGGCGCCTCACGTCTTGAAGCATGTAAGCCTATCGCCAAGGCCGCACTTCGTCTCGCGCTCGCACCCTCTATCAACCAAATGAGGTTCGTACTCCAGAACTTCAATCGCTTCCCGCCTCTGACCTCGTTCAACAGCGTGTTAGGAATCATATCCATACCGGGGACAATGACCGGCGCGATGCTAGGCGGTTCATCCGTTGAGCAAGCTGCTCGTCTGCAGATGATTGTAGCCTTCATGCTTGCCGCATCCTCTTCACTGGCTACGATCATCGCGGTGGCCTGCACCCTCATGATCTGCATCGACGATGAGCATCGTATACGCGCAGACCGCATACACGAACGCCCAACCGCCGTGTGGCGTGTGTTGGCGACCACTGCTTACGCGCCATACAGTGTGGTCAGCGCCCGTGCTCACAAGGGCGTCTCTGGCTTCACCTCGGAGTTGGGGCATGTCACGGAACCGCAGCAGTCGTTCCGATCTGATGCTGCGCCAGAGACCAGCCGTTGCGGGAGAAGGGCGACAGCGGTTCTACGGGCGTCGATGCGCGGGATACACTTTGGGAGATGCTACTTGAGTCACGCTCCGTCCACTCTCAGGCTCCTATCTGTAGACGGGAAGACACTCGCGTTGAAGCAGAATGTTACGGATCTGATTAGACTTCCTAAGTCGATGTTCCTGATCCCATTATTGTTAGGTTACACGAGCAGTCAATCGAAGAAACTATCATAGAGCACTTGTGTTGAGGGATGTGCTTGGGCCTGCATATCGCGCAAAGAGGTCGCTCGATACGTACAGTAGCGCTCCCGCCCAAAGGCATATTGACGCGCAAGGGTCCCGTCCCGCCACCACATGTCCGACGAAGGCGGATATAATTCAATAGACTCGATAACAGATTATTTGGGACTCGTACACAGTTCTTCCTGTGATCGTAGCGAGCATATCCTTCTTTCCTTCTTGGTCGACCCTGTGGGCGCTTTGGGTGAAGCCTGCCATGTCTCGCTTCCGATCTGTAGCCACCTAGGGTACCTATGAATGCGCCACCTTCTCTTATATACGCGCGTGTAAAGGCTATCTTGCGCTGTGCCTCCTATTCACTGGCATCTCATGGTGCCCCCGAACTCAGCCCGCCCAGAGCTAGAATGGTACAACGTTGCTGTAGGCATTCTGTTCTTGACCTTCAATGCCTTTCTCTCTCGCATCTTTGAGCTTGGTGTAGGGCAAAGCCTCATCACCGCTTTAGTGCGATGCATCGTCCAGCTAACTCTCGTCTCACACCTACTCGAACGTGCCTTCAGCTCTCATGATCCGAGAATAGCTCTGGGCATCATCGGTGCGTATCTGTCCATTGGGTCCCGGCTTATCTATGAGTGCCCTTGCTGACGCGTTCGTTGCGTGGTAAGGCAATATTGAACACCCTTGCCGCGTTCGAGACTGTCACGGACAAGTGCAAGCGCCGGTATAAGGGTATGTTCGTGGTCGTCCTCGCCTGGATGCTGTGTACGACGATTTCGCTATCATATATCAGATCGGCGTCCGCTTCGCGATGGGTGTGGACCCGCTTTCAACACCTGCCAGGTACAGTAAGTAGGTTATGTTGCGCTTCAAGAGATCTGACTGATAGACGCCCAGTCCCAATCGTTGGAATGTTATGTGGGAACACCATATCCAAGCTACAAGTATCATTAGCCTATGTGCTTCAGGAGCTCAGCGTCAACCGCGTGAGGACCGAAACCTGCCTTCTTTGCGGCGCGTCGCGTCTGGAAGCCTGCAAGCATATCACCCAGAGAGCACTTCGTCTTGCGCTCACACCGTCTGTCAATCAAATGAGGTCCGTGCCAAGTTTACGCTCGGTTGCCACGGTCTAAATAGGCATCTGACTATGCGCAGTGTCCTAGGGATCATATCTATACCTGGCGCGATGACCGGAGCAATGCTGGGAGGTTCGGCCGTCGAACAGGCCGCGCGCGTGCAGAAGATTGTGGCGTTTATGCTTGCCGCGTCTTCGTCGCTCGCGACAATCATCGCGGTATCATGCACGCTCATGATCTGCGTCGACGATGAGCACCGCGTGCGAGCGGATCGCATACACGAACACCCGACGGCATCGTGGCGTGTGCTGAAGGACGCCGCATACTCCATGCACTGCGCGGTCAGTGTGTGCGTATGC